TAGGCAGACAAATGAACAAAAGCAAGAAGAAGTAAAATTTTTTGTCTTGTATAATTGTCTATATGTAAACTTACAAACGACTAGAAAACCCAATAATTTTTTGCTACAATAATATCCCACTTCATCATCCGCTTCAATTTTAAATCCTTCAAACAGATATTCAGTAAATGTGTCAGCTTGTATTGCCACTGCAGCTGGATAATTCAGTATACATCCAGCACACATAAATGCAAATGCTATAGAAAACCTTCAAAATTTCTTTAATGTTACTAAGCAAATATGAAAACAACAACTAAAAAAGAAACTTTTGCACCACCATCAGCTATAATTTTTTAAAAAAAAATATAAAGCAAAAAAAATTTTGCTTTCCATTACTGCTGTATGCCAGAATTTCATTTGGTTCATCAGTTGATCATCTATTAAGGCTTCAAAACCGGTTATCTACTCTATGTTCTTTGATAAATATACTACTGGTAAAAATAAGAGTCTAATGAGAGTCTACAATAAGAGAGAGAGAGTCTAACTAAGAGTCTAACTAAGAACTACAATAAGAGAGAGAGAGAGTCTACAATAAGAGTCTAACAAAGAACTTTGAACTAGATTAGCTTACCATCGTACGTAGCAGAGATAAGCAAAATCGGCTCCGGATAAACGTATACTGGTGCCTAATTCAATGTAACAGAATGAGCCAAGTGTTGAAATTATTGCACTAACACCCCAAATAATCAGCGAAAGACCTGGCTAAAATTGTCCCAACAACAGTCCCTTCCTTACAATATGTATCATTCAAATATACACTCTCTTTTTTTTTTTCCTATCTGTTTATACATAAAGTTTACAATTATAGAAATGAAGAAAAATAAGTCAAAAGTAACAACAGTTTAGTGATGTATTGTAATGTTACTATAAAAATTTTTTCTTTACAGCAAAGTTCTTAGAAAGAAAATGGAAAAAAAAAAACAATAAATAACAACAGAAATTATTGCTTATTCTTTTTTTTTTATTTTTACATCAAAAATAATAGTAAAAACAAAAAAAAAAGCAAAAAAACAAAGATAATAAATACCGAACGACTTTGTATTAATATTGTAGTTGGTGCAATAAAAATTCCTGATCCAACAATATTGCTGATCAAATAGCTAATTGCACCAATCAGTCCAATTTTTTGTGTTATCACACGACCTGTGGTTACCATCGGTTTTTTGATCACCATTTTTTTGATCGATTTCACTTCGTCAACACTACTCATCAATATTGGGCTATTTTATCTGCAATTGAAGTCTAAAGATGTTATAAAAGTATATTTTTCTGGAAGTAACAAAAAAAAAAAAAGACACATATTACTTCTTTTTCAACAATTTTTTAATACATGCTTCAGAGTTTCAGAGTTAAATTTTTGAAACAGTGCTGTTTTTAAACATAAAATAATATTTAGTTCATTTACTGCATTTGTTTAGGTTTGTTAAAGTGTTAATATTTTTTTTTTACAGTTTTTTATAAACTAATAAGTAAAAACAAGTTTTTTTTTTTTTTTTTGAACTTAGCCGATACTGAATGTGCATAAAAAATATATATATATTTATCAGTAATGCTAATCCTAAATCTGTAAATTATCAAAAAAAACTTTTCCAACAAATAATTTGCGATAGCTGTCTATAATTTAAGTGAAAATTAGAAAAAAAAAAAAAAAGATCTCGTTTTCTGCCTATGCATTTCCGTTTCAGTGAAAACTAATTAACTGCAAAAACTGATCTGTTCTCAACAAATTTCATTGTTTTTTTTTTCCTTTTTTGTTGTAAACGTTACAGTAAATTGCTGAAAAGTTCTTGAAATTTTTTTTTGCCTTATACGGTGACAAATGCAGTTGAGGCACAAAAAATAATCTATGCTTT